CTCCCAGGCCGCCGGTGACAGCGGGCATCTTGGCGGAGGGCTGCCCGCCCAGGGCGCCTTCCAGGTGCAGCCGCCGTGCCTTCACCCCCCGCCCTTGCATTCATTTTTCTCCTAAAGCTTTTTTTTTTTTTAATTATTATTATTTTAAGACGAGATGCTTGGAATTAACTCTTTCCATTTTCATTTTTTTTTTCCTCGACAGTGTTTTGCTGCCGTTTTGACCTGAAGAGCCATCGAGGCGGTGGAGCTGTGTCTTCGTTGCCCTGGATCCGTCGCGCTCTTGGCGAGGGCTGCTCCGAAGGTGGTGCGGGCTGCCCTCGCTGCCGCTGAAAGGATGCACTGGAAATGATAGCTGAGCCCAGCCCAGGCAGCGCGCTCCCTGCTCAAAAGTAAGCCAGGCCCTGGCATGGTTGCTTGTGAAAAGCATTGGTGAATTGGGGTGCTGCACCTTTACGGTTTGTGTGCTGTAGATGTTGGGAGAGTCTGCAAGGTGCCAGTTTGGGTGGGAGGGAGGAGGAAAAGGGATGTTGCTGTGTTCTACATGTTGTTGCAAATGTCTGTTATGGCCCCTTGAGTGCAGTTTAGCATCTTCTTAATGTACTGTTTTATGCTGATTCACGAGCTGATCTTGCAAGCTGTGCTGTGCCTCTCTCAGTACAGTGCAATGGACCTACTTTGAAAGCACAGTTCAGCAGTGAATTTAGGGTACTGAGGGAGAAAAGTGCCAACTGATGTGTAGTCTCCCTGTTGACACTGACAGGGGCAGTACATGCTTCTTGTCATACCACAGGAGGGAGAATTGGCTCTGTCTACCATCTCTCATTTTAAACTGCCATGGTCAAGAACACAGTGTGCATTTTCAGTCACTAGTTGACATGATTTATAAGCTAAGACGTATATATGTAATTGTTTACAGAATGTATTTGGAAGTAGAAATAACAAGTATAAATAAGTTAAATGGTAATGTTAATACATTTAGGCACTTTTTGACTAGAATCAAAAAGTGAAGCTTCTTAGGTGTCCACTGTTTGGGGCTTTGGACTCCTTGCATGCTAGTCCATGCTGAACCTGTCACCTTCTGTGCGAGTCTGCTACAAGTCTGTCACTTCAATGAGCTCCACAAAAGCCATGAGGTGTGTTCCTCCCAGTCCAATGCAGCTTCCCAAACATCTTTTCTGCAATGTTTCATCCAAAGCCGGCATTTTAGTTTCAGAAGTGCCAGGAAGGTACCTTTTTATGTTGATACTAAAAGGTGAAGCAGTTGTCTGGCAGTTTCTAATTGAAGACTCTGTAAGTAGGAGTCTTTCAGTAGCACAGGTTAATTGTCCCTTTCACAAAACTGAAGGCATGTATTCTCTATGTTATTTACAAAGATGAGAAAATTGAACTCAGAAATGTTGAAAAGAGTTTTGTTTTGGGACTGGAAGAAGGTTTTGCTTCCTTTCTGCTTCAAGTGTTTTATAGATACCCTTCAAGTGCTACTGAAAGGAGTGTGTTGTGGCAGAAATGCAAGTAAAATGCCTGTGAGCCATAGGTAGCACAGTCTAAAGGTCAGAATTGTTATGAGGTAGGACAGGAATTCTCCTTATGCATCCTTACTGCTTCCTGGTAGAAAGAAGATAAGTGACTGGGAATTATTTTTTAACAGTGCACCAGACAGTGAATTTAGATTTGCCAACATGCTTGATATGGTATAGTCTAAGAAGGGAGAAGAAAAAAAAAGGCAGATGAATACTTCAGAATGTTCCACAGCAATTGCTGCACTGATATCCTTGGAAGGATTTTGCATGGAATTATGCTTAAGGATCAGTGCAGTAGTAACCATGTGTCATCCTTGGCTCTGGTAGTTCCTATTTTGCTCAAGAAGGTAACAGATGAAAAGATGTGAATTCTATTTACAATTACTTCAGCAGAATCTCAGCTGTGCTGATAAAAATCCCACGAAAGTATCTAATTGATTTTTAAGTGGCTCCATGGGGGCCAGTTTCTAGTCTCTGGTCTAGTTCCCGCAAGTGCTTAAGCATCTGCCTTATGAACAGCCTTACTGAGAAGACAGGTATTTAAAGATTTTTTTTTTTTTTTTAGGCTTGAACATTTACAATACCTAGATTTAAAAAACACGGCTATAAATAAAATACTTCTAGATTCAGTGTGGATGTGTTTTTCTTTTTTTTATAATTCTCTCTAAAGAAATCAAATAAGAGCAAACAAGTTCTAATGGCTTTTTAAGGAATGCAAAAGAAGCCTATAAATTTGGGAAGTAAAGAATACCTAAAATGTAGAGAACTTTGTTAAGACGTTCAGAAGAATTAAGTTCATAACTTTTTTTTTTTTCCTCAAAGTGTTGCCCACCCAAAATGGCTCTTTAACAGATTTTATTTTTTTCCCATGCAATTTTATCTGTTACTGGGTCATGATGAATGATCTTTTAAAATATTTTTAAACAGGTAGAGGCCTAACCTTCCTAACTGTGTTGTCTTTGGTGGGGTGTTGGTTAGATTGACTGCTGGAGCGTGGTGCTTCCTGTGGCCATTGCTATGTGCAGTGGTGCATTGATAGCCTAGGTGACTAAATGGATTTTTACTATTTGCTTAGCGTCAGTTACTTTTTAGTATGTTTAACAGAGGTGGTTAGTACACATGTGAAAGTTAGCCCAATGATTTACATAAGGTGTGTAATTTATTTGGCGTTGTTGGACCAACATGGGGAAGTTGTAGGTCACTAGGCTCTTTCTCATTATTGTAGGTTCATATAGGCTACATAAGCTTGCTGTTCTATACAGCTTGCATTCACACAACTTTCTGGGCCCCTTTTGCTGCAGCACATTTCAGCGGGCATGAGTTTACAAAATAAGTGACATGACATCTGAAGTGCCATTAATTCAAAGTGCTTTTCCAACGTGCATCTTGCTTGCATATCAACTCTAGCACTTCCAGAATTTTCTTGGGAAAGAGCTGCTTGAGTTAAAGCTTCAACCAGCTATATTCTAGACAAGGAAACATTACATGTTTGGACAAGTGCTTGACTGAACTGTCTTACAGCAATTTTGACTTTTTTCGTCATTTGAATCTAACTTGGACCCAATGGTTGCTGCAATGAAATGCGCGTGTTTTGATTATGGGTGTAGCAAGTTCCCATGTAGCACCTAGAAAGAATTCAAGAAGAAACTGTGAGAGTATATTGGGCATTAAAGTATAATGCAAAAACAGAAGAAATAGTGAAATACTGTTTGGCACCTGAGTGACTGTTTTAGTAAAACAGCACAAGTAGGAACATGTTAGGCCCCTAATGTTGCAGTCCCCTTTGAAGTCTAGAGTGAAAGGATTTACTTGCAGAGGAGAAGCAGCTCCTTGGCAAATAGTTTTGGATTCTGCTTGTGGTCTGTAGAAGAATCTGGGAAAAGACTGCATCCAAACAGCAATATGTATTGATCTTCTGTTACCTGTGCTTTTGAACAGATAAGGTGCTTGACCTGCTTAACCTCAGTGATTCACAAATTGAACTCTTCTTTGATGAGGTTTGCTAAATTTAATACAGTTCACCCCCTCTTTTACATCACATGTAGAAGCCCATGCAAAAGATGTAAAGATTGGTTCATTCTAATGAACCAAACTAATTCTAATGAACTAAAAACTGCTTTCTTAGCTTCTATCCATCAAACACTATGGTACCCTTTGAACTCTTCTTTGATGAGGTTTGCTAAATTTAATACTACTTCATAAGAAAGTTAAGCATTTGCATCATTTTATTTAAAAATTTGACTTGTTTTTGTAGAAACTATATAGCAGCGTATGACTCTTCGGAAACCTAATTCCATGTCATTCACATATATTGAGTGTCCCAATAGATTCAAAACGTAAAATGGAAATGTTTTTATGGAAAAACATCTATCTACTGTCACCAATGAAATAATATCAAGACCTTGGTCTTGCAGATTCTGCTGTGCAGGCTCAGAATTTTCTTTGAAGAGGCAGTGTCTGACTGAAGTGCTTGGGAAGAACAGAATTTATCTGGCAGTCAGATAAATCATCTGGCAAATCTCATCCTGGATCTACACCAAGCAGTTAATTTTCCGTATTTTTAACCCACATGCGATTTTGGAGAGTTGATTGTATCTGAAAGTGGGATGCATTGTTTTGTTCTTCGTAAAGTGATAACTTGATTTAGTACACTCTACAAAGAGCACTTTTCATAGCTGCTGCTATGAAAAAGTAACTGTACACTCTTTACCTTGTTTTTGTGCCTTCTTATAGCAGAAGCCACCTGGCTTCATGGCCTGGCCGCTGCAGTTTAAAAGAAGGCCATAACAACCAGCTACCAGTACTGGACCTGCTGCACAAGTGGGACCCAACTCATCTACTCGGAGATGACTTTTGGCAAAGCATATTGTTGGCACTGGGAAATACTGAAAAATAGCGTGATTTTTTTGCAGATTAATGTGTAGTTTCAGCTCTCCTAGAAGGTACATCTTTGTAAAACAATTCTTGTATCATATTAGAGACAATTTTGTGAATGAAATGTCCTCTGTATCTTTTTTTTTACCAGTATGATTAGAGAAAGTAAAGCCGTTTCTTCCTTACCTTTTGAGTCATAGACCCATCAAATGTTGTTCTCATGTTTTGTGTAGAAGATACACAAAGTTGATATAGAGCTCTGTTGTCTATAGAGAGTATAAAACAGTTATAGGCCACCTTCAATAGATGCCGGCTGTTTCATTTACTTACCTGCTACTTGATTGATGTCTCAAGTAGAATTTCACTGGTTTTCTAATTATCTGTGAAATCTTTTAGGGAAAAAAAAACAGTTTGAGAAGGGCTCCAAATTTCAATTGTATTTTAGTAGTTAGCTATTTAGTTTCTTAGCGATAACAAAAAAAGAAACCTTCCCAAACCATTATATATAAGTAAGAATGTCACAATTCATATGTATGGGGTTTTTTTTGTGTATATTTATTTATTGTTGTCGCAACTATCTCGTTCAACATCTATTTGTTATACTCAGAGAGAATGCTGTCCATGATGAGACTGTGCCCGAGTCTGCTGTGCAGAATGCCAGCTGTTTGAGAAATGGCAACCTGAAAACACCAGTAAGTTACCTTTTCAAAATGGAATTTATTTTCTGTCTCATTCAGTTGTTACTAAATTTAGCCTTGCCTAAAACAATGACAACAGGCTCCTAATTGCCGGCTACAGCTAAACTGTCAAGTTCTGTTGGCATCAGAACCTCCCTCAGTGCAGGGTTTTGAACCATCAGTTCACTTCAGTGTGTGCTCTTGCTTAGTTGCCTGTTTTGGGTAGCTGATGCTAGTTGGCAGGCTGGGTGCTTACCCTGTAAGTTAACAAATGTTCAAGAGCTGGGCTCGCTCTTCAGAAGTTACAGCAGCCGTTAAAAATGCCTTCTGGGTAGCACAGTGCTCAGCAGCTTCTTCCCAGCTATAACTTCCTGCCTTTGCATTTCCTTGCAGATATAATTTAAAAGTAATTATTTCCTTCATATCTACTCTCTGGTACAATCATGTCTGATATGGCTTTGTCACTGAAATGAGACTAGCATAAATGTGCTGTAAATGGGTAATTCCTCTATCAGTGAGTGTTTACATATTTCATACTCTCTCACATGCTTTCTTTACTTGGCTTATTTCAGAGAGAGAAACGGAAGGTCCGAGAGCAGTGTGAAAACATAAGGAGGAATTCTTCCAATAGCAGAAGAGTGAGCCGCCTGCAGAATGGAGAAGTGGTTGAAGCAGTTACATTGTTTGAAGTGGTTAGCATGGGGAAACGGGCCATGCAGGTATTTCCAGCTCTACATTTGGGAGGAGTTAATGGGAGGGAAGATTGATAAAAAGTGGTAATTTAAATTATTTATTCCCTGGAGCTCTTTTTTTAAATAAATGGAAAAAACCTGTTTGATTTGAAAGAGGTTATGGCTATGGTTCTTCAAAAGGATGTGTCTTCAAGAAATTAGCAAAAAGTATCTGTGAGGTTTTTAAAAAGAGAAAAGAAATATGTACCTAAATCAGTCTTCCTAAAGCAATGTCTGAACATACTTATTTTAAAAATGTTCAGCAGCAAAAAAATTTGATTGCTCAGGATTCTGAAAATAAGGCCATTTATTTAAGAGCTTGCCTTTATACATCATTTTGGCAGTTTTCCTTTATCCCCGTTCCAGTACAATTTGAAAGCACTTTGTATAATAGTTAGGTCTCCTTGTGGCTCTATTTAATTAGTAATTTTCTTCAGTGTGATGAAGCCTGCTGCTCCATACTCTTTGTATATGTGCATATGTGTGTTATATTTGTATGAAAGATTAGAAACTGGAGCCCCAAATATTTTTATACAGTATTACACATATGCCTCCAGTGCATAGTGTCTGTATATGAAATATGTCTGTGCATATGGAATGCATATTTATATTTTGGATGCTAGGGCCCCAAGCTTTCAAGATCTATTTCTCTGGAGATCTTCAAACCCGCCTGGATGCCACCCTGTGCCACGTGCTGTAGGTATCCCTACTTGAGCAGGGAGTTGGACTAGATGGTCTCTAGAGGTCCCTTCCAACCTCAACCATTCTCTCATTGATTCTGTGACCTTGTTATGCTATGGATGTAGGGTCCCAGAAGGACCCTGATTCAGCTGTATGAGGCATGATGTGAAGGGCTCAGAAGAGCAGGAGCTGAGAGCAGCCTTCTTGTGCTGGAATTCCACAGACCCATATGGCAGTGAAAGTAGAGTGAAGGCTGGGTGGTTTGTCCCAGCAGGTCACATTCAGCCTGGACTGCCCTACAAAATGAAATGTGGAGATTTTTAAATATACCCTTAGAAATGGAACAAAATTATGTGGAACTTGCTCTGATTTTTATAATTGAATAAAGCCAGAACAACATTAGTTCGACTATGTGTGCATTAGGGATGTTCTCAGGGCTCAGGTTCTGACTATTGAGTTTCTTTAATGTGTTCTAGTCTGTAGTAGACGACTGGGTTGAAGCTTACAAACAGGACCGGAATGTGGCGCTTCTAGATTTGATCAACTTCTTCATTCAGTGCTCAGGCTGTCAAGGTAATTCACCTGCTTACTAGTCCTTTGCTTTGCCTATGGAGCAGGTGAGAGTCATCTGAATTATGCTTTCTAAAACTGTTTTTTTTTAATTTTCTACTCAGTAAATCATGTACTTAGAATCTGTACTGTTTGCTTAAGACAAACTCCAAGTGGGTCAGGGCTGATAGCAAAGAATGTTATCAATCAAATTCTTCAACTCTGTGTGTGGAGCATAGTAGCACTGAGGGCTGTCTTTGAAGGTGGTTTGCAAGGTCGGGTTTCTGAAGTGGCAGGTCACATCCCTTTGCAGAATCCCCACTTAGGAAATTCTAATTAAAGTAGAAATTCTAATTAAAATCCGTTATTTTGGTTGTGATTTGTTTTGTAATTTTCTAGTATCATTTTTTTTTCTAATATGTTTGTTTGAAAATGAGCAACTATTAAATTAAGCCCTGTGTTTTGGTGTCTGGAAGAGCAATCAAAGGTTTGCAAAGCTGTCTTAAGTATTTCTCGGGCCACTGTGACGTCTGGGGATCATTTGCTAGCTAAAAACTTTAGAATGGGAAATGAGTATTTAAGAAGACTGCTCTGTTTAGTTGCAAATTCTGAGTGTATTTAAGCAGCCAGAGTGTTCCTCTTTTACATGTCAAAATTTCATCTGGCACTTTAATTAATGTCTTATCATTATCATGTCTTAATGGAAAGTGTCTTGGGGTCTCAGACTTTACTACAGTCTTTACTACAGTTTGGACTTAATTAATGTAATACGATTGCCAATAATTCTTCTGGTTACATTGTTGCTTTTCTAGGCATGGTAACAGCAGAGATGTTTCAGAGTTTGCACAAGAAGGATGTCATGCGAAAAATGACAGAGACTTTTGATGAGGTAGGCACTGCTTTGACATAAAGGAGATGCTTTACCTTAATAGCCAACTTGGCAGAGTTCTTGCTGTTTGCGGGAAACTGTGTCCCACTTCCTTCCTTTAGGAAAATAATTCTGCTTTCCACAAGAGAAATTTGAGATTGTAAAGAGCTGTGTTATAGCAACATATTTTTTTGTAAGCTACTCTTGTTTACAGAGTTTTTTTAGGGCTGTTTAACTGCAGTCTTTCAAAATTGGACATTGGCCATAGATAGATAAACAGTTCCTTTGGTATTTGATAGGTGGTTTTTAAAATGTTACTGTGTGTTATTGATAAGCTGTTTTAAAGATAATTTTTCACAAATACTTTTATTTGCATCCTTTTGTTCCGTTTTACTGACAATATGAATTTTTGTAACTATGTTTTGTCACATGAAAGAAGAATAATGAATTTGTGATTTTGAAACATTATCAAAACAGTAGTGAGTATCTCATTTCTTGAGTTTTTTTTTAGGAAGAATGCATATCTTTACAATATCTTTTTTTCTTTTTGGCTGATACTTTTGGCTGTTATACTAACATCGATTTTTATGCAGCTATCATAGTTGCTTCTATGCTTTTTTTTTGTCCTGTGTTTGCCACTTCTGAATTGATTTGTCAAACTGCAGCCATCAGCCTTGCTTTAATTGAGCTTTTCTTGAAGTCCAGATGCTGCAGAAGTTCCCACAGAGGATGCACTTGCCAACGTGTTTGTTTATGTATTTATTTATTTTAGAATTGTAGTTGCAGTTGGGCTAACTTTTGACAGAAATGATCCCATATGTGTCTGGCCGTATGAGTTGATAAAATGGCACTTCCTTCAGAACTAAATTAGCCCTGAATAGTATCTGCAATAGGGTCGGCACTCCTGAAGATACAAAGAAGTGACTTGTTGTTATCACCCTCCATGTGTTACAGCTCTGGAATCCCTTTTTTCCTGACTTGGTTGGGGTAAGAGGGATTTTTTACAGTTGCTTTAGGAGCTGCATTTTACATCCTATAAAACAAAGCAACTTTGCTTTTGAGGTGCTCTTTTGACCTTCTAGTGAAACATTTTACTTATGAAAAGTAGTAAGTGATAATTCCTCTACTTGGTATTTCTAAAAGCTTCAACTTTTTTTTTTCTGTGTAAAACCAGAAAATTGAAAGCTGTAATACTTCTCCTTTCAGTTTTGAGAGGTTTTCATTATTCTGGGATTCATACGTTCATTCTTGAAGAGACTGTGTGAAGAGACCTTAGTCCTGAAGGCCTGTGTGCACATGCTTAATCTGACTGTTGTGAGCATTCCCACTGTCAGGAAGAACGTATTATTTTTGAATCATAATTAACTCCATACCATTGAAGTGTAATGGCATAGGTAAATACCTGACAAGACCTGATGGAATAATCATCTGTGTTGCCAGCAGCGTGCAAAGGTACTGCTCGGCACTGTGAGATGGTATCTACCAGCTTTTGATTACAAAACCGAAATTATGCTTAACATGGTTCAGAATACATAGAGACAAAATACATATTTTTTTCTTAACCATGAATCTGGCGATTTTTTTTTTAAGACTAACCCTAAAAAATGATTTTTTGCAGCGTGAAATATTTTTAAAGATAGCACCTGACAGTTTGTTTAGTATCAATATATCAAGACTAGTGTAAAGCTAGTATTAATATATGAAGAAATATGAAGAAATGGTGAAAGTAAGTAAAAGATGAGTACTGAAGATAAAACTAGAGGGAGAGGTAGAGAATGCTTGTTCTAGGGCTCTTGGATATATATTGTAGTTGGATAGAATATGCTTGCAAACATACAGTAGCTTTTTTAAGAATGAGATATTTTTTCATGTGAAAAATATTGAACTCTGTAAATCTACACACTGAGTTTTATTCTTTGCTGCTTGTGGAGGTAGAATGCTTGCTAAAATCAGTCTTCATGTAATGTATAGGTTTAACCTTTTAAATGGTAGAAACAGGATGAAAGTAGTTTGTTATTTTAAAATAAATTGTTTCTTCTTTGTGTTTGTATTCTTTTCTCAAACAGTTCTCATGTCATGTTTTTTAATAAATATGATGTAAGCATGACTTACTAAAAAACGTTTGAGAAGTGTTACTATACAGGCCTACATGACTGCTACAATATTTTTTGAAAACAAATTATAGTAATAGTAAAAGTACAATGAAGGTGGAGACCATTACCAGATACCTACCTGCTTTGTTTGCTGATCTTCCCTTTTGATTTACATTGTCTGTTTCTAGCATTCAGAGAATTGGAAAAATAAAGGTTCAGTCTTGATCCTGTGATTTAACCGCTGCTGTTTAACTAGTAATTGCAACACTATATCTGTTTACCCCGTGCATACTCACAAAATTCTCATTGACATTAGTGAGAAAATATATGTTGGCATCAGAAGCAGAAAATGGTCTTAATATTGTCAGTCATTTATTTCCTTTGTGAGCTTGATACATCTGAATGGAGATGTAGGCTTACCTTTAGACCACTGGTTTTTGTCTTCTGTCTTTATTCTTCTGTTTCTGTCTTCTGCTTTGCTTCCCGTGTGTGGCATTTTATTTCTTTCAATATGCTATGTTCTTTCATCAGGTTCCTTTTCTCTCTGTTCTTTTGATGAAATGTTTAGCAGTAGAAGAGAGAAATTTAAGGTGCAACTGTGCAGTCAGATGGGGATAGAAATGCTTGTGATGCTTTACTAAGACAAATGAAGAATTACAGATTTCATGTTTTTGTCTTGGAGTGATTTCAGATTTGAGGAAACTTCTCTGTTTCAAGTCATACGTGTTCTGAAAGCTTCCCTCCATATTTGAAAAGCTCAAGTGGTTTTCTGGAGTTCAACTTCTTAACAATACATAGTTACCAGGTGTTGGAGAGTCATATAGGTTTAGACTTCTTGGGGAGATATGTCTTAGAATTAATTATGAAGACCATCCATTGCATATGCTTGTCCTTAAGTTTTAAATACAAGTTGTCTCCTAGTTGTATCAAGAGAACTTAGGTTTTGTATAAAAGTACATTTTTTTCAGCTACTGATGTGCTTATAGGTTATAAATATAAAGCAAGTGAGAAAGGATTAGGTTTTGTTTAATGTGTTGAATTGCATGTAGCATATGTAATACAAATGGTCGCAAGTTTTTAATTTTTTTAAATACAATGCATAATTTCTGCTATTTTTATCTTTGTGAATTGAATATGCAGTTTAATCAAAATGCTTTTACAACTTTCTCTCATATGTTACAGGAAACCGGGTTGCAATACAAGAAGTTCATGGCTTATCCTTGGATTCTGACAGTTACTTGGCCAGTGGACATGGTAAAAGTGTCTCCTGTAGATCTCTGTGACTGTAGTGTAGAGTTTTCTAGAGCTGTAGTTGTCTTCAGTGTAGGTGTATATGTCAGGACGAGGCACTTTAAACTCCTTATTTGTCAATCCAGATAATGAGTTACCTCTGAGGTCTCTCTGCTTTAGGCTTCGGGTGTGGAATAAGCTTGCTCATGCTTTGGGAGTGCCCGTTTCTGGTTATTGATTTTTAAGGAAGGTACCACTGAATTGGATGAGATGAATTCCCCTTACAGTGTTTTAAATAGTAGATGGAATGGTGTGTGCCAGGTTGCAGGGGTGTTTGAGAGGCTTTCACTCCCCTTCCAGCAAGCTCCATGTGCACACATGTGCATGCACAGGTATGTGCACACCGCTCAGCTTTTGGCAGACATTTTTTTTCAAAAGCTTGTTGCATCAAAATATTCTTTTGCAAACAAATGTTGGGTTGGAAGAGTGTTTTAAGAACGAATACAGTTTTTCTGCAATGCCTCTTTCCGTATATCACCTACGACACTGTAGAGTCTTTGTCTCAAATCTCGTTGGCATTTCAGTCTCCCTACCCTCTGGAAGAAATGAACATTTCCAGCATGATTCGAAGCAGGAGCCTCCCTGGGGTGATTTGAATAGTTCTCAGGAAGAACCTGTGCTAAGCTCCCAATATGACACCGTTTCTGGAAGCAGAAAGCTTTTGGCTACTGGCTATTGAGGGATTATGAGGCATTCCCAGGTCAGGCAGTGGAATTTAGGCTGTATGCCCTCTTGTGCTGTTGGCATGTTTAGAATATGCCAACACTATTATATGATATCCCAATATGATATGCATGGATGGGAGAAATGCTCTTCAAAAGTAGGGTGTCTTCCTGCATTTATACTGCTTTTCAAATTGAGGAGTAAGCTACTGTGATAAAGTAGGTATTGCCTATGTTGCAAAGGTCTCTGTGCTGTCTGTCTCTTGATCAACCAGCACTGAATGAGGCCTGCTGGGTGGCTTCCCCTTCGTTCTTGGCACTTGCTACTATTAGGCCCTGAGCTGATTCTTGCAGTGTGATCAGGAATGCATCAGTCCCAAAATTCCTCATGCGCTTTGGGTTGTAGGCATCCCTGAGGTCTGTCTGCAACAGCTTGTGTTCGTTTTTCCAGAAAGCAGGAAGCCTTATGCCTTGGAGACCAAGTTAAAAGAACGAAAGTGTAAAGTGCACTTAAGATGTGCTTGAGCTTATTCTGGGTGTGAAACTGCCCTTTAGAATTTCTCTGAGAAGGTGTTTGGCTGATAATAAGGACCAGGTGGGTAATGTCCTGCTTTGAGGATGCCTCTTTCCATAGTGAGTGGCATTTTGGAATTCCCTGGCTCCATTAATATTTGGAAACTAACGGGATGCAAAGAATATTCAGAGTCATCCCTGGGATTAATTATGTTGCCTTATCTTTCATTAGCTTCAATGTCTGTAAGGCACAAATGAAATATTCACATGGTCTGAGGTTGGAAGGTTTGGAAGTCTTTTCAGTGCTCTTCACACAAGGCTTATCATTTTTTTTCTGGGAAGTCATTTGAACTCCCACCTTCCTGTCCTCTTCCTGGCAGTACCAAATGCACTGTGAGTGCTCTAGTGGCCTTACCATAACTCAGTTTCTGCACAGTGTAGGAGGTGTTACCTGCTTGCTGTGCCTGTGCAGGTTTCCAGAGGCTGAGATGCTGGGCGTACAGGGGAGCAGCACGGTGTTTGCTGTTAAGCCGTAGCCGGATAAACATGCTAAGCTGGCAGTGCTGCTGGGAGAACAATTTCATCCCACTTCACACCACAGGTTGTTTTCACTTCCCTACTCTCTGCCCTCTTGGATCAGGGACATTGGTGTAGTCGTGTACAGAACCGACTCGGGGAGTTGATCCAGCTGAAAAACAGTTTGGCCAAATAACGATTTTTGGAATCAGATCAGTTCCTGATCAACTACTGCTGCAGGAACAGGAAAGGGCAGTGGGGAAGAAGTTGCTACCTGTGAGGAAGTGGAAGAGGCTGGGTTTGTTGGTAACTTTTGCCAGTGAAAGGTATTTATGGTACTGTAGCCTCAAAAAATGTTCTCCTGTGTTTCCATTTGCATTTACCTCATGTCTGTTGCTCTCGTGGAATCTGTCACAACAGAGCAGCTCTAATGGAGCTAGTTCATTTGCATTCATGCCTGTGAGTTTGTTGCATGTCCTTACCTTGGAATAATAGTTATGAAAAAAGTTGCTGGGGATATGAAATGAAAATAATATTCAGCAAAGCTCTCTCTGGAGTGAAGTGGGAGAAATGTAAATGGTATATACAAAGAAAACTGATGTTTTTTCTCTTTATTATTTTTGTTCTTGCGTAGGACAATGAAGACTACCCACTTATCAGAACGGGACCTTATTGGAAGAAGTTCAAAGCCAATTTCTGTGAATTCATTGCAGTGCTTGTCCAACAGTGCCAGTACAACATCCTATATGACAGCTACTTGATGGATACTGTCATCTCGCTGCTTACAGGCTTAGCAGACTCTATGGTCAGAGCATTTAGGCACACAAGCACTTTGGCAGGTAAAACAACTCAATGAAGTGCCATTCACTCGTATGCTAACAAAATTCTTAAAACTGAAAAGTTCTCTTTTACTGGAATGATTATTTCATAAGTATTGACCACTTTTTGTTCTTAATGTATGCAATATAATATAATTTGTCTCTGCATGTATCGTAATGGAATTTGGAAGATTTAGATACGGTAGATCTAGACCAATGACTAATGTAAAAGAGGATGTTTGAAGTTCTTGTGGAGCTCAGTATATCAAACTTCTGTGGAAAGTCGAAATGCAGTTGGCTGTATTATTTTGATATTTAGTGAGATCTTTAATGGCTTAGATAATTTTAGAATTATGTTGTATTCTGATATAATTTAGCGGTATCTGTTTTTTTTTACAGTCTGTTTTCCATTTCATTAATGGTCCCCTCCCCATACATAATGCAAAGAGGTTACATTAAATACTTTACTTATGAAAGGTTCTTTTCAAGAGCTCTTATTACTCTGGTACATGTGCTAAAAAAACACTGCTTTTAAAGTGTTTTTATTTGATGCACGTAATGATATTAAAGTGACTTTTTTTAAAGGCTGTAGGTTCCCTCACTGCCATGTGAATAGCACTAAAGTGCACTGTTTACTTTAAAGACTTAAAAAAGCAAAAGCTCTCGGAGTCTACGTGAATCATCATCTAGTGATTCTTAGCAAAGCATTAGTTTTGGTCAATTCATGTAAAAGATGAGACAGAGATGAGACTTCTCTGTCTCTCTGTCTCTGTCTCTTCTCTCTTTCTGTCTGTCTGTCTCTCTGTTTTTTATAACTGCAGCTCACCTGTTCCACAGCTCTAGAATCTTCCACAGAAAAATCTAAATTACATACACTTAGAGTTGCCCAGTGATTTACTTCTCTTGCTCTAACCAAAAGTTGTAGGTCACTAGTAATATGAATAAATTTTCCCTTCATATCACCCTCTTTAAACGCCTTTAAAATAAACATTGTATTTTAAAACAAATTACTGTGATCTAATTTTTTTGCATTTAGAATAATAAACTGGGTTTGAGTAACCATATCCTTTTTGTGGTAAGGGGGTGAATGTTTATGCTTTTTATCTCTAAGCTAAACAAAAAAAAATGGTTTTGTTTCTTTTTCAGCAATGAAGCTTCTGACAGCAGTTGTAAGCGTACATCTGAACCTTGATGTCAACAAGCATAATGTTCACAGACTATATGAGGTGGAAAAGCACAGGACAAGTGGCAAGAAGACCAGTTGCAGGCTTGACCAGCTACAGAGAAGAAGAAAAGAGGTTGGGCAGGTTAGGGTATTCCAAAATCCTCTGCCTGAGTAGAGGCAAGGCAGCCCCAGGTCCATGGCCCCAGGTTCTGTCTGTAGCAAGACTAAGTGTGTATTCCAGGAGGCACTCACACAAATACTTACACATACTTGCACTTGTTACATGCAGCAGTATATCCATATGGCAAACAGCACCAGTGACCTCATCCTGTACCCCTTCCTGGTTGATCGGGATGAGCTGCTGGCCCCGGGATCCCCAGTCTCTCTGGCTGCTGTCACCTGGATATGTGAGCCCTGATGTCACAGCCCCACTCTGGCTGCTGGTACAGACCCCTGCTCACATTGCACACACATGAGCAGGCAGAAATGGGTGCTGTGGAGCCTCAGGCAGCCGTCCTAGGACATTCACTCCATCCAGTGTGTGGTCCTGAATCCTTGCTCTTCCCACCTGTTTTGCCCCTTACAGATATACATAAACCCACACAGACACACAGTTGCACGCGTCCCAGTAGATCTCCACATTGACCCCCACACCAGGGGTGTGAGAAAGACCAGGTGTTTTTGGCAAGGGGCTGGGACTCCTTTGCTTCCTGGAGTAGCCTCCTGTGCTCTTACTCTTAGTGATACACGTAAGGGCCTGGCTTCCAGGTCCCTTAAGTTACTGGCTGGCCACTCTGGCTCGCTCCTGATGACTAGTGATCACATGATGGCTTACACCCTCGCACCCACTGCAGTCACTGTCACCACAGGCATGGGACCCCTGTGGCTTGTGGTCTGACATGGGTTGTTGGCACTTAGAACGCCATACGTAGAGGTGCAGAAGCAGTTGGCATTCCCTTGCTCTGGAACATGGCTAGAAGTGGATTTTAATAAGGAGATGGAACAGATCGGGCATTGATCAGCTGCAAGGCATGACCAGACAAGCATACTGAGCAGAGCTGTGTACACGTGACAAGCCCTTTTTATCCCCTTATCCCTTATCTTCCCATGTTTTTTTTTTTCTTAAATCTAAGATGTGCTTTAGAGCAGTTCTGTCTGACTCGACTTACAAAATTGACTAAGGTGGTAACTGACCTACATATTAACTTGAGTAGTCTGTCCTACTAATTTCCTCTCTAGATTGGCATTATTAGCCCCTTCATCTCTGCATGGATACGGATTTGCAAACATATTTACTTGCAGTGGTAGCTTGATATTGTGGGACTCCAGTTTTGCCTATGTTTATGCAAGCCAAAATAGTAAGTCTTCAATTGGATTTCTTTGCCTAAAATGAATGAAATAGAAGACAGGATAGAGGAGTCATCTGTGCGTGAATAATGGATGGTTAAAATGATCTCAAGCTCACAAGTGGCCTCTGTTTCTTCTCTGCTCAATGACACAACTCTTTGTGACCTCCAAGAGATTGGCCTTTAACCATAAGAAATTTTTCTAGTTTGCTGGCTGAGGCAACAGTGTACGAACAGCAGGTGCAGTCCCTGCTCTGCTGACCTCTGAGGATCACTTAATAGCTATGCTGTATCTTTCTGTGTGTTGACTGGACTCTCTCATTTAAACATGCCATGTGCTGCGCCTAATTATCCACATATGTAGTTAGTATCTGATAATCTTTGATCAGGTCATAGCTATTAAAAAAAAGCAATTCCTAATGTAGCTGCAGGTCACTCATTTTGTGCTGGTATCATTTTTTTGCAGTGAGATTTGCACCAAAGTAGCCTTGTACAACTTTCTCATGTGAAGCAAATTTGTGGGAACAATATAAACATTAAGTTCTCTTTGTATTTCAGTACGAGCAGAAACTTCTGGACATACAGAACATGATGAATGCTATTTTCAAAGGGACGTTTTTAAACCGTTACCGGTAAGAATAAAAATACACCTTTGCAATTCCAGAAAATAAAAATATTGTAACTGATTAAACAGTTTTAAGGTACTAATATGAAGTTTTATAATTTCAGGGATGTGATCCCTGAAATCCGTGCCACTTGCATTGAAGAAATTGGCAGCTGGATGAAAACATACCCAGATGCCTTTTTAAATGATAGTTACTTAAAATACATTGGGTGGATGCTCTATGATAAGGTAAAGTTTTCATTTTTCTTACGTCTTTATGGGAGCAGTAAAAGGAAAGCTCTTCTTTTTAGGAATTTAAATTTTAGAATTCTTAAGAGTGTAAGTTTAAAAGTGTTCTGGTAGTAGAAGAATTTCCTTTCTGCCGCATTTCAGGTTTTAATTTTAAAGTTATCCTATCATTAAATAACAGAAAACACTTCTACGAGTTCTGTAGCAGTGTGAAAAATGTGTTTCCCTTGGTGTGCAATTTTTTCATGTGTTATCAAAGGCACTCAATTGGAAACTATTCTTACTAAATTGTAACAAGAACAGTATCCTTTGAGTACATGCAGTGTTAAAAGTTGGCTACAGTACTGCACTAAGTCTTGATGAATATATTTAATTTTTTACTTTATTTCGTAAAGATCACAGATAAATATTACCAATAGCAAAGTACTCTGCGATATCATATTTCTCATTTGGAATTAAATGGATATAGATTTTTTGCAGAAAGGTTTTTAAAATCTCACTGTGTTATAGTTGAGATTTTCCCTTAATTATTCCTCTCTTTTTGAAAGAATCTTTTAATTTCAGTCGTTTTCCAGAGAGTTTCTCTTTTCTTTTTAGTAATTTTATTTTAATTTTTGAATATAGTTTCAGTCTTAAGATAATTCTGAAATGATATGTTTCTCATTATTTTAAAATGCATCATAGGTGTTAGGGAGAGAGCAATATTTAACATCAATATCTAATTTCTGGAATTTGCATGTTCCGCTTCTGCAGGCCAGCTTTTAAAATGTATCTAGCTGCTGTATAAATGCTTAAACATCCTCACTTTCATTAGGTAACGTTTGTGTGCTGAGAATAGACCGGCAGTTTACAACAAAGCCAGGAGGGGGAGCACAAAGCCTCTTAGTGCCCTCTTTTCTGGCATTACTGTAAAGGTAGCATTTAGATTTTATTTTAGAAGCAACAAATCTGCCAGAACTGTTGAGTTTCCCTGCAAAAAAAAGAGTATCTGATCAGAACATAACAGCTTTTTGGTTTCCTGTTGGGAGATTTCTCAAACTATGAAAACCAAAAGTCATTTTTTCATTCCCAGTGCTGTATGGTGACAACTAACAGCTGGTGTCTCTGATTAATACATGCATCTCTTCCAGTGTCATTTATTGGTAAATGAAAAGGATGGTTTTTTTAAAGCTTATGCAGAAGCAATGCAAATGCCAGCAGAGTGAGATAAGGTCAGAAATATTCTATATTCCAGATCTGGCTGAGCCCTGTGACCCAGTATGGGCCGTTACTGGTGGTTGCCATCCTGGCTGTGCCCTGTGACTCGTAGCCACTGTTAAGTTGCCAAAGAATCCCAGATGAGAGCAGGGCATTTCTGGCAGTGACAGGGCAGCAGTGCTTTTATGTGCATCTGGATGTTATTTTCCACTACTCTTCCTTAATAAGAATTTCCATTCCACTCTGATGGGGGTAGGCAGAAAGAAACTGGTTGCTCCCAGAGCCAGTTTTCTTTCAGAATATAAAGTAGAGATGTTTGCCAAATAAGTCAGGCCCTAGAGTTGAACAACCATAAAAGTATTCTAACTGCGAGGAAAATCTGGGCAAGATCAGCTGCAGCATTGTAAACAGAAATTAAGTTCAGCCATTTGGGAAGCTTTAGAGAAGAAAAAAAAGAAAGTGTAAAATTAACATTTTGTCTTCAAAGTTTTATTTGAATATAATTATTTGTTCTTGTCCCTGAGATACCATTTTCTTCCATTATTCTTTATCCCAATGTGAAATGTTTTATGTTTTTATGAAGGATTATTTCCTAGATGCAAAAGGATGTTCCAAAATCTGTGGTAGTGTGCTTAAAGTTGTATATGGAAATCTCTCATTGGCTTAGTGAGGGTTGTGGAGCAGTGATATAAAGATATATTTTTTTTTTGCTGATGCATTTTAAAATGTTTTGTATGCTACAAATATATATTTCTTAATGGCAAGCAATGCTTAATACTAAATCTGAGAGCTGTATGCAATTAAGCAATGCTGTATATAAGCCCAGTCACCTACGAGTGATTTTGTGAGACCCAGGCACCTAAGCAGTGCTCCAGTGGGCTGCCTAGCTACTGATCAGTACTTGGCTTTGGTCAAACCGGTGCTGATCTGGGCAGCAGGTGCGGAGGGGAAATGCTGAGGAGAAAACAACTGGAAGAGCTGAAAAATAGAGACCATCAAGAGGAACATCACAAGTTACTAGGCTAGAGTTATCTGGGACCTCAGGGCAAGTTGTTGACTTTTCTCATTAGACTAAATAAATAAATAAAAGAACAAACCGTGAGGGAAGCAGGAACCTCTTGTCCCACCTATATCCGTAAGATCTATAATCTTGTTTCACAGAGATGGGAATGAGGTGGGGGATTTCACAGTGATGGGAGTGAGACTGAAATCTCAAAACTCAGAAAGTGTCCAAGTGCTGAAGCCCATGTAAAGCTCTTTGTTGTCTCCAGCTTCCTGATTTTCCATATCAGTCTTTTGCAGTCCAGAGTCAAAACCCACTGCAACATAGCTAAGGGACAATGTGTATTCAGAGCCTCTGATGATCTGCTTACATAATTTTCCTTCATTGTGTGACAGCTTTGAAAGACCAAACAGTCAGCTATTTTGTGAAGATCAGAGTGGTAGTTTTGGTGAGGGGAATAGAGAGTAGGATACTTGAATTTGCTTGCATTGCTGTCAAAATGAAAAGAAGACGAGTGAGGTGGTTTTAGAAGGATCTGAGGTATTTTTCAATAATGAAGAAACTACAAGTAGTGGTGAAGCTGGGAAAGGAAGAGGCATTTCAGAAAGAGACAAAGCAGCTGAGCCATAAGAAGACAGCAGAAATAGCAGAAACAGAAGTAATTACTCATTTCAAGTCCCTAGAGAGAACGTTCTTAACACTTAAAAGACTTATACATATACAGGCTTATGGCTGAGAGCTTTTGGGTGGGAAGTGAATATGTTAGAAGGCAGGTGTCATGTAATGCATTAAACTTTATATCTGCAGGCCTACACTTGAATGTCACCTGACTGACAAGTGCAAATGACATCCGTCCTTAACTACGTTCCAGGGGCTATATGACCATCGAACTACCAAAAGCATCACACTTTTTTTTTTTTTTTAAGTATAAATGCAGGCCTCATTCGTCATTGCAGCCTCATAATAAAATATTGAGGGCAGCTCAAGTCAGGATTGCAGTTCATTGGTGTGCTAAGTTCATGTAAGTTTGAAGAGCAAATTCGTCCTTCACGTTCGTGGGAGCAGACAGTGATGAGCGGCAACTTTAGACTTGCAGCTTTAGACTTCTCCTGAGTGAAATTCCTTGCTGCAGAGCCCCTCTAAGAAGCAGCAGTTGAGGGCAGCATGACCTGGAATATGTGTCACTAATAAGAGAGCAATGCTCCTCATTGCCTGTTGGTCTTTTTGCATTTCTAGTATCTGCTGCCTTATGCAAAATTGTTAGTCAAGTTCTCCTGTTTGATATCATCCTTTGCTTTCCCTCCTAAGCAAATGAACAGGAACTTGTAGTAATGGATAGCTTGTGTGTAGGTGGTCTCCCATCTTGGATTTCTTTGATTTTCCTTACTGATGTTGTTAGCAGGAAGAACCAAGTAAGAAATGTGAAGAGGCTGTATCAAAGCCTGCAGTTCATTCAGGTATCTCTACTGATATCCTGGGCTTTATAAGTTCTCAGAACAGAGGAATTCTTTTGATATTAGATTGTCCAAATGACTGTCTTAATGACATTAAAGCTTTTGCCATTTGAAGGTTTTAGCAGTACATCTGAGGTATTTAGAGGATGGGAAAGGAAAAGTGCTCTCTTCTGAGGTGCTTGTGAAGTGTCAGTGCTAAATAGTATGAAGTAACTGCTTGCAGAAATAAGTACATTTGGCCTAAATTAAGTAACTACCTAGGCCAAGTTCAAAGCAACCCTTCCCTTCTTAGGATGCCTAAAATGCAAGTTAATGTTCCAGTGTGAAGCAGAAATGGAAGGAAGAAAGCTGTTTTAAAATTCTGTTGTTTGTTGGTTGTGGGATCTGTGAGAGTTTCTTTGATTCTCAAGGGAGCCCAACACGAACTTTGAGGCCTTGCAGTTTGGCTCCTCCTGGCTTCCAGTGTGTGTGCACACAGACATAACGGCTCTGGTAGTGCTGTTAAAGAAGATGAGGCAGCATTTGACCAGCCTGTTGTAGGCATGCCCATAGAGTTCTTATTTGCTTAAACATAAATGTCAGTCTATAATAAATAAAATAGAAGATGGGTATTTGTTACTGCTAGCAGATTCCTTTTTGTCTTGCAGCAAGCCGAAGTACGGTTGAAGTGTCTTCTGGGACTGCAGGGAATTTATAGCAGAAAAGAACTTGTTTCCAGGATGGATCTCTTTACTAGCAGATTTAAGGTAAATGAATTATATTTGCTATTTTTTGAATCTAGTCTGGGTGTACATACAGGGTCTGATATTTTAATCAGAGTTGATCTCCCCCATTTCTTGACTGACAAAGGTTCAGAGTATGGCAGAGACAGTCTACCTGCCTGTGTGGATGAAGGGGGTTGGCAGAGATGCTTCCTTCTGTTTACATGAACACTTCATTTTTACTTTGACATATGCAGAGTGGTGTTAGCATGATCTTTAGTCAGTCATCCTAACCATTTATCCAGACTGGCCAGATGTTTTTTACGGGATCTTTGACAGATGGGAAAGAATCTGATACTCCAAAGGTTTTTTTTTTTACTGTCCCAATAATGGGTTCACCTGTTACATGTTGGGCTGAGGATGCATGACTCCTTTTTGATTCGCTATGTCAGTATGGGTCTTGAAGAAGGATCCTGATCTCCTGCCATGACAAGTCAAACGATAGAATGTAATTTGAAGAACTTGTTCTGTGACCACAGTGACTCTGTATACTACCTTTATCATATTCCAATATCCCAACTCATTTAAGAACTCAGCGCTTTTCTTTTTTTAATCCTGTCCTTGGTGATGATTTCATCAGCTGTTCTTATTCCAGAGGAGCTGAGCCTCTGCAGTATTTGGATAAGAAAGCTCAGAATGTTGTGAGAGGAGGGACTGAGATCTCAGTCCCTCTGAATCAATGTGTAATCAATGCCTGCATGCGGTGGTAATTCATATGCTTTTTACCAAAGGTGCAGTGCTTGCCCATTTGTCAGAGCAGTTGTCAGTGGTTAAAA